TGAATCTTTAAAAATTTTTATTTTTTGCTGGGGGGTACAAATACCAAATTTGGGGGGTACGAATACCAGCACCCTATATATATATATTGTTTTTTTTTTTTTTTTTTTTATGTTTATATATATATATATATATAATTTATTAATACTGTTTTTAAAATTTTGCTAGTTTAATAATTTGATACAATATGCAATATGTATTAAAAAAAGCTATTGAATTCATAAATACATGATATAGTACAATACATGCAGTATTTCATACCAAATTTTAAATTTTAAAATTTTTATCACATAGAATAAATACTTATATATAATTAGATTTAGATAAGTCAACAGTAATTATTATCTGTTATGTTTAATACTCAAATATGATCAAAAAAAAATCATGCTGCGGTGAGTGAAAAATATTGGTAGTATACCCATCTTCTTGAAAATGTACATTACTCTTAACAAATAAGTCAAAAACAGTAATCAAACATGCCTAATACAAAAAAGATTGTAATAAGTACATTGGAAGTAGCTATCTGCCATTTTCGCTTCTCACAATTACCAATACCAAGAGCGACTATAAATTACTGTATACCACAGGCGACAAATATAACAGTTCCAAAAAATTGACCAATTTTTCGATACATAATGCAATAGCATAATGTAATAATTTATTTCATATATTCTTATATTACGAGAGATATTCAGCTCTATAATCTTAATAATCTTAATAATCTTAATTATAAGATCAGTTAAAAAGCGAATAAAGTTTTTTTGATCTATTATAAACTAATTTCTTCTTGACAAGTAATTATTTATTATGAATCAAAATCCTAATTTTTAACTGGTTTATCACCTAAAATAAACTCTACGATAATCAAATGCAAGCTTCTCATACGCATGTCATTTCATTTCAGTTACGTATTAGGATAATCTGACAATAGGAAAGCGACCAATCTAAAATGAGAATTCGCTAACATTATAATACAAAAAGCTTTCGGTTAAGATATCGATTAGAATGACTTTAAATAACAATATATAGTTATTTGGTGCAAATTGATTAAAAGAGTTTTAAAAAAATCAATTTGCACTGCCCTCAATTATGGATCACATGGAACACTGCGAACAACACGCAACCCATGCTCGTAACGATAATGAAATCAAAATTGACGCAAATTCTAAATATTTTAACGTAGCAACTGAATTATAATAACATAGCAGATTGCTAAGAATAAGCGAATAAATATTCTAGTTAAATCGTAAATTATTCATTATAATAAATATGAATAAAGTAAACACTTTTTAGTAAACATAGATATTAATTTCTTGATTACATGAATTCTTCCAAATTAAATTCTAAAGCAGAACAAGGATAAGTTAATTCAAAATTTTCTAGTACTTGGGGATGCAAAATTCCAAAACTTCCTATTTTTTTTGTAATATTTGATGATGCTTCTCCTTTCCGAAGGAAAATGTCTGCACTTCGGTTTGGGAAATATGTTGTATCTGATCATAATTAGAATATAATAAATATAATAAATTAATCATAAAATAATTATAAGATAATGCAGTAATCGATTATCCCTTGTAAAAAACTAATGTACCATCAGATTCCTTTATAAAATATCCTTTTTTGTTATCTGAAGCCGAAACAAGTTTCACACCAAGCATATCCATAATGCGATTAAGAAGCCCATGAATAAACTATTAACCAAATTTATTATTATATATGACTATAAACGTGCCACACGATCTAAACAGAATAACTAACTTACCTCAAATCCAGACACTTTATTACAATAAATTGCACATACATGTCTTTCATTTCTTGTTAGCCTTTCAAAGGAATTATCTTTGAAAACGACATCGGATACTTCAAAAACTTTAATTGGCAATGTGTGTTTTTTGTTTTCTCTCACAGTTTTCAATACACCTGGCAAGAGTGAAGTACGAACGACTTGATATTCCGCCGTTTTAGGATTTGATAATTTCACTGCAGTAAGATTGTCATCTTTTTTGTTCAAGTATGCGAAATTTTCGTCGTGTGAACACTATTTAAAATTTGTAAAAATTTTTATCAAATTACTCCAATTATATGTAAACTGTTTTTTTTTTTTTTTTAAAAACTACTCACCAAAATCAACGGTAAAACTTCCGTCCAACCTGCCAACGCTATTTCTTTTCTTACCAAGTCACTTAATTTGTTAATAGGCAATTGTTTACCTACTGTTGCGCAAGCTGGTAAAGTCTTTGGAATGTTATTAAACCCATATGCAATAGCAGCATCTTCCATTATATCACATGCATGCAAAACATCTGCTCTAGTTGGTGGAACTTCAACCAATATTTCAGCTTTTTCGTTTATAGCTTTAATCGAAAGTGACATACGTTTTAAGAGTGTTGCTATTTCTGAAGTTTCAAGGTTTAACCCCGTACAAGCATTAATATAATCAGCTTTAACTGTCATAGTACGAGGTGAAAGATCTGGATAAATATGCTCAGTACCATCAGGATATATGACCTTAACAGGTTCTGCACTTCAAATATTAAATTTTCTTAGCTATATTATAATAATTAACTTAGTTATATAATAATATAATTCATAACTCACGTGAATGGCTGCTCACAATACTCAGAAAACATTGTTACAACAGTGTTTAAAACAATTTTAGCTTTTGTCAAATCAGTTGCTGTACATTCAATGAATACATTTTTCGTATTCAATGTAATCTTTGAAAGATCACCATTAATTATTGGTGGTAAAGAACAAACTTTTCGGTTTGCATCATAGATGACAGGATAAACAGGTGAATCACGGATTATGTGAAGAAATTTTCCGAGATGTTTATCGGTCTATGAGTTTTTAATTTATAAATATATTATATTATAAAGTATATATCATTCTGAAATACTTTACTAAAAATAAAAAAAGAACTACCGTATAAAAATTCATCAATTCTTCCCCATCCAACTCTTTTGTCTGGTTTAACGGTACAAACTTTATCTCTTTTGGTGGAAGAGCCTCATAAGTAAAAGGTCCTTTAATCGTGTCAAAATCATGAGTTCCAATTGCGACCAAGGTTCGCTTTCTATATTAAAAAGAATTTTAAATCCAATCCATATTGCTTTTGATTTGACTATAGAGTATTTATACCTGCAAATATTGTTGTGCAATTTATCTTGCAGATCAATAAAGTTATTATAACTTCTTTCTGTGAATTTAATATTCCGAAGAATAGCGCCGACAACATGAGGCCTTATCTGAGCAGTCTGTAAAAAAAAAAAAATTATAAATAATAGTAAATAATACTAATTCAAAAATCTCATTTAAATTAAAGTTTATAATATTGTCTTCCATAATGTACACACCTCAGGTTTTATCAATATTTGTACATGTCCATCCGCTGGCTCAACAACATTATAAGACGGAGAATTTGCTTTTTCTTGAAAAATTAGTAAGGCACGCGAAATGCCTTCATGACAAAGAAGATCATATCTAAAAACATTTAATATAATCCATATAAAGCATGAAATCTCTTATAAATTTATAATTCATTTGTTTGAATGATTTATTGCATGCTAGATTTGTTCACCTATTAGAAGGGATATCGATCTTTAAAATTGGTCGTTCCGATAATCCCTCGGCTTTGGCTACTCCAACTTCTTTACTAGCCATTTCTTTTTCGGATGTCTAGCTTAAACAGATAAAATAATAAGATTAATTTCATTTATCATAATACAAAATATCAATTCAATGTAAAAATTAGCATTCATACGTCTTCTTCAAGTTCAATTCCAAATTCAAAGCATACTTCACGAAACTCATCCGTGGCTAAGAATAAAAAGAGTGGGTTAAAACAGGTAATCATAAGAAGCAATTTTTATAGTAAAACATTATTAGAGTTTACAAACTTTTCGATTGACCTTCGTCTCCACTTACTATAATGTTTTCCAAGAGCTTGGTAAAGTTCATTTTTATCTACGTTTACGGTCGGCATTTTTCAGCTAAAATGAACGTTGAAAGAGCTTATAAGCGATATCGATATGCAACTATTTTAAGACTCTCGTAATCAAATGGACCAAGAGGACCAAAAGACATACGATGATGCTTTAACAATTTAACGTTGATTGGATAAAATCAAAGCCGGTCTGTCACGTGAAGTTAATAGATCTGCGGTTGCTTTTTTGATAGATCTAACAACTAATGCATCATACTTATACTGGGTGTTTGATAAGTCCAGTAGTAAAAAATTTATTCACCTGATCTGCGTGACATCTCGGTCGACTGATATTATAATAATAACTAGAGTCCGTTTATGCACTATAAATTTCAGCGCTTTATTGATTCACGCGTATTTCTAAGTTCTAGAATCGCGTGTAAAAAAATATTC